ATTTTTAAATATAATATTACTAGAAAGTAAGTAATGAACCTTAGAATATATTTTAACAAAGCAAGCATAATCTTGATGACAACCAAGAACTCATTAAAATAAAAATCCTGGGCCTCACCCGTGGGGCAGCGGTTGAGCGCTGGGTTGCGAGGCTGCCCGCGGCCTCTGCAGCGCCGGTTTGATCCCCGGCTGCTCCCCGGCCACCGGAGGAGGGTCCCACATGGCGCGCAGACCTCTCCTGCCGCCCGCTGCTCCCCTCAGCAGTGTACTTCGGTCCTTCTGCCTGCTCTGCTCCCCGCTCTGGCTCTGGTGAATTCTCTCACCCTCCCACGCTTCTGACTGTACCCAGTGCTTGTATGTATAAGTAAATAAATAAATAAAAAAAAATAAAAAAAAAATAAAATAAAAATCCTGTCTCCTATATCAATTAAAAATAGGAATGCAAATAAATATAATCACAACTTATAAATATTTCTGTAGTACATTAAAAAAATAGTGCATAATTTAGTGGTACTTACTCCAAAAATTAAAAAAAAAATAGTACAATAATAGGAATGGTCTTAATATATTTTACTTTTTAATTGATACTAGGATAAAAATCATGATTCCATTAGCAGACATTCATTGAATCTGTTACAGACCTTTCAAAAGTTGTGGGTTCAAAGATACTTCATGAGAAAAAATTCACCTGAGAGTTTTGGCTAAACCAGACAGGTTTTTATTTAAAGACTGTACATGAGGGAGTAAGTGCCAGAAAGGAAGAATTTTAGCTTGGTTCCTGTAGAGAAGCTAGACTTTTAAGGGGTAAGTGCTTTTGGTGGGATAGTGGGGTCCCATATGATAGTGGGTTCTAGTTTGTACTACACCAGCACATGTGCAGATGGGTTACATTCTAACTGCTCATGTGAGACTCTTGGTCTCCCTGGTCTAGGAAATTGAAAGACAATTATTGTGGGATCCTCAGCACTCCTTGTTCTCAGAGGTAATGTCTTGGTGGCCAGAGTTCCTGTTCTTCAGCTAGATGTAGGGTCATGCAGGGGGCCTCTCACCAATGTCAAAAGTGTTGGTATGAGGAACATAATGGGAAACCAGTATTTGTTGAAAATAGCAGGCAAATATTACAGATAGTCTGTTTTAACTAGTGGGAAAATGGAGCTCCCACCCCACCCGGAGGCAATAGCACATGATCACTCCACCCTAGCTTACAACCCCATTAACTCCCCCCCCCACACACATACACACCCTACATTCTTGCCCCACTTTTGTACTTGATTCTAATAAATACGAGACTGCCTTTGGAATGGGGCTGCACATTACTTCTGGTGTAGCCCCTCTAGGCGTCTCATTGCTCCACATGGACTTTGAGTAATCTTTCCCTAATACACAGCCTTTGCTTCCAATGCTGCCAACCCACAATGTGTTTTTTGTCTTGTATAGTGCTTTTTGCTAAGTTGTTTGAATAGGATATTACAGTATAGACTGCATATCAGTGATTCAGTTGACCTGTTCAAATAGGACATGGTGTCACTCAGCCATATGTCCAATTCCTCTGTTCCAACAAGAGGGTTGACAATTCACATCCTACTTGTTTGCAATTTCTTTAACGTAGGCTTTTTCAAAATCAATATTCCTCTTTAAAAACTCCTAGTGACAAAATTCCTAGTGACAAAGTGTTGGGGGGAAAGGATGTCCTGAAAGAATTTCACAAACACAGGTTTTATGGACTCTACCCCCATCCCAGACAAAAGCGATCCAAGGCAACAAGGACTACAAATCCCATAATGTCATTACCACCCAAAGGAGGATGCTGGGAACTAAGGTAAAGTTAAGCAGCCAGGCTTGGTATAGAACCAGACATGTGGGCCTTGGAGGTTTTGGGTTTTTCTCTGAACTTCAGTGTGCTATTGGGGTCCCAGCTCAGTGGAACTGGTAGGACGCTTTCACCAATTTATATCTCTGTTCCATATGCCTCTTCCAGGTCTCCTTCTGGCTCTCCATCCTTCTTCCTTCCTTCTTAGTCCCCTTCCCAGATTTTTCTCTTCCCTGCTCAACTCCACTCTCCCTTGGGTGTGGCAGGGAACCTGGTACCTTCCCTTTTCCTGGGAACCACCCTGTTGCAATAGGTCTATATTATTACACTTTTTAATGTATAAGGATATAATAAAATAGATCTACTGAACTTATTAACTAGAATCTTGCTTAATAGAAAGAAGATAGGGCTTTATTAAAGAAAGAAATAGACCAAGCAAGGGATTTATGCTATCATAACTATCATTTAATATAAATTTGAAGAGATAAATCATTGCACTTAACTAAGAGAGACACAAGAAAGAATAACTAGTAAAATTATGAAAAATAACTATAATTGAATAGTGCTAAACATACTAAATAATAAAATGCATAATAAAGATATAATAATTAAAACCAGATCCAAATAGTATACAAAGACACAATATATAATCTGCAAATTGATTCAATTTCATATGGGTATGCAATATATTTCTTCTTAGTGAACATAATGTAGTGTATATAGATTTTGATTTATAGTGATTATAACCTGAATCTTACATAATGTTACAATGTAAAAAAACATCTGGCAGTTAATTTGCAGAAAAATTATGTAAATATTCTAAGGTAAAGATCACCCCATTATTACATGGACTCAGAGAAGTGAAAAAAGAATGTTTCTGAACTTAAACTATAAAATATATAAATAAAAAAATCAAAATAGTCTTTATATGCAAAGTATTGTCCAACTATATTCACTGACAAATTAGTGGAGGAGAAATTATGATTTTAATGGATGCAGAGAAAACATTTAATTAAATTTGTTATCTTTATTAGTAAGATGAAATCAGCAATGTAGAAACAAACACGTTAAAAAGTTTCAAGAAAACTATAAATCTAATATTGTATCAACTTACAGATTTCTTACAGACATAAAGATTGTTCTTCAAGGTAGAAATTTCCCTTTGGAATTGGAAAGAGGCCTGCATTTACTCATGCTGTAAAGGAAGGTCCCAGCCTGTGCAAAAAGGAAATTGAAATAAAAATTATTAATTTAGAAGGAACTGATACAATTTTATTATACTTATGTGATACATTTTTCCTCATACTTAATCCAAAATATCTACAAATAGACTACCAGAAATAATAAAAGTTCAGGCAGATGATTAGATATGACATCAAAAATGTTTTTCATTCTATTAATCAGCAACAAACAGATTGCCTAATTTTATTTTAAGAATGATGCTTCTTAAAGTAGTAAGAAAGTACGTTAATAAAAAAGATTATAGTATATCACTGTTGACTATAGATGCAGTATTATACTGCAGATCTCTAGAGCTTTTTTAAATCTTGTTTAACCAAAACTTTATACCATTAATTATCAAGTAAAAATTATTGAGGGTAAATCTCATGCTGTTTTTACGATAATACAATAAAATAAAAGTAAATAATAAAATCTAGCAAAATATGTGTAAGGCCTATCTAGGAAAATAAATAGTTATTGAAAGATATTGGAAGGTAAGAATGAATATATAGCGTCACACCTGTGAGATAAAAGAAATACAGGAATTTGATAAATTTATAGTATGATGGTTTCTATTTTCTCTGTGGAGTATAAAATGTCAGTATTTTGTAGGAAAAGGCATGCTGACAGACGATGTAGATAAATGAAAAGATTTATTTATCTTAGATTTATTTTTTTATATTGTTACCAATCAGCATTTCAAGTGACAGGAGCAGTTTTACCCTGACAACCAAGGCATATGATCTATCCAGATGTAGTGGAGTGACAGGTGAAAAGAAAGAAGTGGAATTATGTTGAACTGAACAACAGGGTAAGAGTTGGGAGTTCAGGAAGGAGAGTGTTTGAGGTGATAAAACTTGGGACACTGACTGGAAAAGGAAGAGAATAAAACTAGGAATGTGTATGCCGGCATGAAAGAAGAGGACGGTTCCTAGGGTTCCATATGAAGTTAAAATGAGATGAATGACTTGTAGAGAGAAGAGGTTTTTTTTCTTAGTGTTGATATTAAATAGTGTTGATAGTGTTGATATTAAATATTTCAAAAAAATGATTGATAAGACAAGCTGTGGTAGTGAGTAGCTGCTGTGATAGGTGAAAGTGGTTAGGTGATGTAAAGTGTGAGATGTAACTATTTCTTGGTTGAACCAGGAGGGACACTAAGAGAGTCATTGGTACACTTAAGCACTCCTGAAATAACTATGCATTTTCACAAATCTATAAGTCATGTTCTCAGCAAATCCAAATAAATAGATGTGTTAAAATGGAATGTAAATATTGACTATAACAAGATAATATTCTCATTTTAAGAACAGAGAATTTTATAATACATTTCTGATCTAACCATATAATTTTTATGTGTCATACAAAAAGACATCAAGAGAGATATAATAAAAATTTTATACTTACCACTAAAATGAAGAAATAATCATAATAAATATGGTTTTTCCTTTTACAGCCTGCTTTAGTTTCAACTTACTTGCTACCAACCAGAGTTTAGCGTATGTTATGATTTTGCATGTTCACATTGTTAATTATTTTAATTAAACTTTATTTTGGGGTAGTTGCACATTCACCTTTATTTGTAAGAAATAACACAGAAAGATCCAGATACACCATGAAATAAAACCCTGGCAACTATAATCTGTTTCTTATTTCTATAAATTTGTCATTTGAAGAGTGTTAATAAACAGAATCATATATATGTAACATTTTGGGATTTTTTTCTCCCATTTATCATAACTACCTTTTGACTCTTCATCCAGATTATGCATGTATCAATGATGCTTTTGGTCAAGAAATCATTTATGAATAATTATTTTTATGACTGAATAGTATTGCATGGTGCAAATGTACCACGGTTTGTTAATCATATACTCATCAAAGGACATCTAGCTAAATACTATTTGATTTGGCTGACACATATTGGCAATGGCGATATTAATGACACCATTTTGGTTTGCATCCACAGCTCTCCCAGTGTTCACTCAACTACCTCAGGACACAAGTATAGAGGTTGGAAAGAATATAAACATTTCATGTCATGCTCAAGGAGAGCCACAGCCCATAATTACTTGGAATAAGGTAAGGTCTCAATGAAAAATGCAGTTATACTAAAGATACTGACAGGTGTATTTACTCAGTAAAACAGAGGTAATGATTCTATTATTGATTTATTACTGTTGTAAATTTTGTTAGCAAGTAATACTTTTCCATACAAAAGCAGCTTCACTGCCTACTGACCCTTTTTTAAGTGGCTGGATCTGATTTTTGGCTCAGGGTTTTGATGAAGTTTAACCTTTCTCATTTACTTGGTGATGGAAACATCTTAACATTACTAAATTCCTCTAAGGAAAAATTGCTTGTGCTGTATGTAAATTAAGAGTTTTAGTAGCTAGCAAGAGACAATTTTGAATTAATAATTCAGAAGTGGATTGAAATAGATAATTAACTGAAACAAGAGAAGAGTGAGAAGCTTGGTATTAAGACAAGTGACATGAAGAAAAGCGATTCTGTGGTTTAAAATTTGAATGACTTTAGAGAAATAGCAGCTCCTTATTTATATATCTTGATTTGGTTCCTTGAGCCATATTCTTTCATATTTTTATTGTTTCTTCCATTTTAGTTTTTCTTTTTCTTTTTTTAAGATTTATTTATTTATGCATACAAGGACTGGGGTACTGGCCAGAGATGTGGGGGGTGAGAGGATTCACCAGAGACAGAGTGGGGAACAGAACAGGCAGGATGACCGAAGTACACTGCTAAGGGGAGCAGCAGGCCAGTCAGGAAAGGTCTGCTGCGCCATGTGGGTTGCTCCCTTTCCGGCTGGGGATCGAACTAGTGCTGCAGAAGCTGCGGGTTCATAGTGCAGTGCTTAACCTCTTGTGCCACCAGGGAGGTCCCCCATTTTAATTTTTTTATCACAATTAAACAATTGGTCCCAAATCCCTATATTCTTAAACATAAATGAAACTGAATATACATTAATAGCAGTTTTTATGGAAAATTTTGACAAAATGTAAAATGAGGATGTTTAAAGAGATATTTTCTAAAACCATTGGCTTATGGTAACAAGGTCTTATATTTTGGGGGCTCAGTTTTGTGCTCTATAGCATACAATTCTGCGTATGTTTAGGGGTCTTAAACAAAATTTTAAGTTCATGTTTTCTCTAGTAATCTGAACATTTTGTATAATTTCTTTTTAATTTTCTATCATATAATTTAAATAATTTATGAAAACCAGGAAATAGGACAATCTACATTTTGGTCAGAATCTAAACTTATCATTGCACTAAGTGCTCTATCATATAATCACATCAGCAAAATATCTGAGTACAATTTCTGAAAGGTAATTGATGATCATAAAAATATTGATGGAGAAATGAATTACCATTTACCATATTGCTGGATACTATCACATTTCATCTGTATAGCAATTCTTTTCAATTTACAAATTTGAAAGTGTATGGGTTAGGGTATTTTTGCTACAACCAACAGAAACTACCTAAATTAAGCAGATAAGGAATTTATTGAAAATTATCTGTTAGTTCAGGGACAGAGCAATTTGAATAAAGTTTAGGCTGACCTGATAGTTTTGTCAATAATTATCTTTGAAAAGAAGATGAGGCACTGTTCCAGAACAATGAATAATATAATAACAATAAGATAAATCAACTAATTGTAAGTACATATATTTTAAAGATATTTCATATGAAATGTAGTTATTCTTATCTTCTTGAGGTAAAATTTTAATTCAGAAAAGCACTGATACATTAACACTTTGCAGCTATATCAAACATAAATATATATAAGAATAAATAGTGAAATCAGAAATATGAAAATATTTTGATGTTTTTAAGTGGTAGATTTGTGAGCATTTTCTCTTTTTCAAATTTTATTTTAATGTCATAAATAATCAGGGTTTGAATAAATATACATATTATCCATTGGAATAATGATTTTAAAATAATCATATTAATTGTATCATTGAATATTTGAGCATCGCGTTTACTTAGAGGAGAGAGAGAAACTAAACCCCTTACTGGAAACCTCTTCTCCTTTTTCTCCTACTCTCCTACAGAATCATATAATACTTCATCCATTGTGTGACACATGGTAGGCACTTCATAATATTTGCTGAACAATTAAAACCAATATCAAACAAAATATAGAAATGATGACAATACTTTTCCCTCCCTAGGCAGGTGTTCAGATTACTGAGAGTGGCAAATTCCATGTTGGTGGTAGAGGCATGTTGACCATCTATGATGTAGGGCAAGCTGATCAAGGGAGATATGAATGTGTGGCTCGGAATTCATTTGGCCCCGTGGTGGCCACCATGTTTCTCACAGTCAATGGTAAGCGTTTATATATGCCTTTGAATAGTTTCTACTTAATCCAGATTCACTTCACTATCAAGGTTTTTTTTTTTTATACATTCCATTTAGTCAAATATGTTAATGTAGTTAATCAAAGCTATTATTTTTAATCCAAGGTCTTAAATGTAAACTTTGTTCATGTGTATCAAACACCAAGAAAAAAAATAGTAAGGATTTGCAAATATGGATTATGTATTTTTAAGAAAAGAATATCATATAAAATGTATTCATAGCCAAATAAATGTGGTGCCAGTGATTTAAGGATAAATGAAATCCAATATACACTAGTTACTCTGGTCCAGTGTGTTATATCCTAGATTAAAATTAAAAGTCAGTCAAACTTTTAGCTAAGATTTACCACCATGGGAACAAATATTAGAAGCATTTATAATTGAACAACATAACAGGCATCTTCACAATTCAACTGGTTACATTATTGGAGCCCTCTGCTACAGGAGCATAAATGATGACCCTATAGCTTTAGAAAAGATAGAATCTCTTTTTTTCTTTTAGTGAGGTAACTTTGGTTTACAACACTGCATTTGATAAAGTCTCCTTTTTCAATGAATCAGGCCATATTGGATGTAAGAAAGGCCATGTGCATGTGGACTTGAATAAACTGAGCTGAAACATTGACTTTGGTTATAAATTGAAGACAGACTGTAATGATTGACAGGTGTGTTATCCTCCTGGGGATAGCTTTGGAGAAAAGCACAGCGTGTCAGCACATGTGAGTTGACATCAAAGTTGTTTTATTCTGCAGACGGATTTAAGAGTTTTTGCCTTGACTAAATAAGATTAACTAGAAGCATATATTGTGGTGTTTTGGGCTCTCTCTCTCTCTCTCTCTTTCTCTCTCTCTCTTGTTACCTTGAAAATGGGAGGTTTCAAAAATAGGATTTTGTGGACTTACTTTTTTTCCTCTCATATGGAGGAGTTCTTTTTTAAGCCTTTGCCTACTTTTCGTTACCTTAGAAAAAAAGGGGATCTCATAAATAGGGGTTTGCCAATTTGTCTTTTCCCTCTTAGTTTTACCAGCTCTTATGAGTCTGTAAAAAATTGAATAATTTCTCTCATTATAAACATAGGCCTAGTTAATAAAATCACATCCTTAAATGTGTCATTACTTTCCTATCATGTAGTACAGTGATTTTGAATGGGGGTTTTGGAGCAGGCCTGAAATCTGAGCACCCCAGGTGGACTCTCTCAGTGAGGAAAAATTCAAAGTCTAGACCAAAGTCACAGAAAAGCAAGAGATTTATTGGCAGGTAGAAAGGACAGGAGAGAGGTCTCAAATGGGTAGCTATTAAGAGAGTGAGAAGTAGGTGCTTACATAAGTACAGTGGGCAAGGAGTGGGGGTTTTGTCGTTAGGCTGCTCTGCCTTGTGTCTCTTGCTGATTGGCTGGGCCTGTGTGCCCTCCTAGGCTACTGGGGTCCACTGAGTTTGTGGAGTTTCCTAGGCTACACAGGTCCATTGAGTTTGCCCATAACACTTGGCTTACCTTCCCAAAACTAGCTTTGGCCTGTTGCTCTAGTATTGTGTTATTGTGTTGGTGTTCTAAACACTGCATTCTTCACTAGGTTGTGGGGGAAGCAGGGCCACCCTCCTGGCCCAGGATTGTTCTCTAATCAGACTGATAAATGGATTTAGAACTTTGGGGAATGGAAGGGCGCCCTCCCGGTTAAGTGTTTCTCAATCAGGCTGATAAATGGACTTAAGGGGTTAGGGGCATCCTGTTTCTAACTGATTGCCTATACCCACTTCCTAACTTCCTCTTTCAGCTTCATCTTCTTTCCCATGCATATTCCTCTGATATATAAAACATCTAAATACACTATTTGAATATTTTATATAAAGTGTATACATTTTTATTAATGGCACATCAATCTTCATTATTTCTTATAGTGTATAGTAAAAATGTATTTTATGTAGAATATTATTCTGAAAATTGTATCAATGTTATCTAGTAACCAGCAACTATTTATTCTAGTAGGTCAGAATTTCTGTGTCAGATACAATCTCTTAATGTTACAAAATCTTAGTCTTAGCTATTTCTTTGAGTTTGTGTTTTTCCTGATTTAAAATTTATGATAGTTGTGTTACTTTTTTATACATTTATGGAGCTCTATTTCTGTTCTCCAGTGATTTATGAGACCTATAGAAAAATATCCTTGAGGCATTTCAGCAAAAATGTTATTATAATTTAGATTAGTATCTTTTATGTTACAGAGATGCTAGGAATCTTTACCACAAACAAATATTTTCTCCTACCTTTTATTCTGCCGTGCACACAAATATTGTAATCATAGTGGCCAACATTTAGAACTTCTAACATAAGAATTTCATTGTTTGAAATTTATTTTTTAAAGATTTATTTATTTATGCATACAGGAACTCAGGTACAGGCCAGAGGTGTGGGGGGTGAGAGGATTCACCAGAGACAGAGTGGGGAACAGGACAGATAGATTGACTGAAGAAGTACAGTGCTGAAAGGAGCAGTAGGTGAATCAGGAGAGATCTGCTGTGCCATATGGTCACTTCCCTGGCCAGGGATTGAACTTCTGATGCAGTGGCTATGGATAGCTTCATAGTGCTGTATCTTAACCCCTTGTGCCACCAAGCCTCATTGTTGTTTGAAATTTAAATAACCACCTATATACATTAAAAATAAAAGTCAGATAAAAATGTATTAATTACTGTATTAGATTTTAAAATAAAAATATAAGGTATTTATCAATAGTCTGCTCTGTTGGTTAGAGAAATCAGGCTATAGGGAGAAAACATTTTAAAGAAAAGAAGTCATTCACAAAGAATACCTTTGCTCTGGGGACACATATATTGATATAATGGAAATTAATTTATATCTGTCCATCACAGTAATTACTTTACATAATATTAGAAATGTTTTTTGTAAAGGGAAGAAAAAGTATAAGCATATAAATTTAAGTTTTGAATAAATTATAAGTTTAACATACACATATATTATGTATAAGTGTTTGTGTATGTGTATACATTCATGCAATCCAAATGAGCAGAATAGGGAGAAATGTGTCAATATAAATTATAACTGACAAATTTTTTTTAAGATTTATTTATTTATGCATACAAGAGCTGGGGTACAGGCCAGAGACGTGGGGCATGAGAGGATTCACCAGAGACAGAGTGGGGAACAGAATAGGCAGATTGACCGAAGTACACTGCTGAGGGGAGCAGCAGGCGAGTCAGGAGAGGTCTGCTGCACCATGTGGGTTGCTCCCTGCCGGCCAGGGATCAAACATGTGCTGCAGTGGCTGCAGATTACTTCATAGGTTGCGTCTTAACCACTTGCACCACCAGGGAAGCCCAATTTACAAAAAAAAAAAAATTATGATTTAGACACTTTCATTCACCAGGTCATCCTAATTAAAGGGAAAGTGTACGCATTATCAGAGGATTTTCCAACATTGACGTCCTCACTTGGCAGTTATGGGATGTGATAATTCTACTCGTTGTATAAGAAATGGAATGAAGAGGATCATGTTTTTTGGGTGTCTATTCAAATTGGGAAATAAAGACAAGGGATAATCCAAAATAATAAAAAATTACAACAATTTAAGCAAAATCTGGGCATTATACATAAAATAAAGCCAGATTAGCTGATAATCAAAACAATGAATTTATAATAGCAAAAGAAAAAATTCTATAATTTGTAATGTTTAAATTAAGAAAGTTCTTCTCATAAACTACTTTTTTTTTACATTGATACAGTAAGGATACAGAGCATTTCCATCACCAGTAATATCTCTCACATAGTCACATTCACTTCCCTTATAATCCTGGATAGCCACTAATCTGTTCTCCTTTTCTCTAATTTTGTCAGTTCAATAATGTTATATAAATGGAATCTCACACTCTGTGAGACCTTTGGGGATTAGTTTTTCCACTCACCATAATTCCCTGGAGAGTTATACAAGTTTTTGGGTATATCAATAGTCGGTTCCTTTCCATTGCTGAGTGGTGGCAATGTACGAGCTTCTCCAAGGGAAGGATTTCATTGGAGAAATGAATGGTTGTCTGGGAATTAGAGGGATATTGGTGAGAGGGATTATTGGAGAATTAGAGGGATTATTGGAGATATAATTCCTCCTTGAGGGTATCAAGTGAAGACAAGCTAAATGAATATGGTTGTACTGATGCATGAATTTCATGTAGCCTGAGCAAAGAATCCTCATTACTTTTGCATGGGGAGGATAGAACTGAGGGAGGATTTTGCACTGATTCCTGCCTAGAACTATAATAAGATGTATTGGAATTGCCCCCTTTAGAAATGACCTTTTGTCAGAAATTTGTAACCTCAGAAATCGAGGATGGGTTTCAGGACATTTAAAGATGTGGGCCAAGATACAAGGAAAAATAGCTCTTACTCTTAAGTAGGATGGCTTAGGAGTGAAATTCCTCATATCTACCCCACTGCTAAAATTTTTATATAATAAAAATAAAAAGAGATATTATATAATATCTCTACTGTCATTTAACATGTTTTCTTAAACCATAACTCAAATTTCAGGTTTTTTTTAAGTTCTGTATTTTTTTTTTTACATCATTGTTTATTTTTTTTTTTACTGAGTTCAGTTTAGTTTTATTTGTAAAATACTGAGTTACTGAGTTCAGTTGGTTTTATTTGTAGTTTTTGTTTTTTTAATATTTTATTTTATATAATTCTTACATCATTTTTCATTTTTGCACAATGTATGCATTTTTATTTTGGTTATATTCCCCATACAATTGCACCCCCCTTATTTTGACCCTAATCTTTCCTCTCCCCATCCCCCCCATAGTGTATCTCTGATTTATAGTTCCTTGTTGATTTTGATTTTTTTCTTTATTATAGTTAGTCTTTTTCCTGGTCCCTTATTTAGGTTTTCTAAATTCCTGCTATGAGTGAGACCATCCAGTATTTTTCTTTTTCTTCTGGCTTATTTCACTCAGTATGATCCC